ATGTCCTTAATAAATGGGCGGCCGTCGAGATTCAAACACAAGACCTCTCTACTGCCGAAAGCTCTTATACCGTGTCAAGAATCAGTTGATCGATTTCAACAGGTCGAGTTGTTGGGAAATGTTTAGTGATCTTAATTATCACCACCGTGTGGTTTGTTCCAAGCCAACATTAAATTTCCATGGCTTTCCCCTGAAGACAAGCCCTAGATGGCCCTCAATTCTCGTTGAAAAGGATAAGACTGTTAGTGTTGTGGTATATGATCCACGATTGAACCTCCTCCAACAACTCGAGTTATTGGGATCAACTGGTTCTTGACAAAGACAAACGGGGAATATCCCGACGGATTCACATTCAGCCACACACAGAGGGAAAAAAAAAACTTTTTCTCGGACACCTCCAAGGAAATCTTTCGCGGTTTCGGAGCATACAAATTGGCATTCGTACATGTACATAGCAGCCTGCAACGTCCGAGTGTGTCGTTTCACGTTTGTGACCCTTTTTCTGCAACGGTACTCTTTCGTTTTCATGGCAGGAAAATACAGCTAATCGCTGTCTCTACACGACACGACCTAGCCATAATACCAACATGAAAATTTTTTGGTTGGTATTCAATCGATCTTTCTCCCATTTCCGTGTAGAATTCCTTCATGTGACCGATTTGCTCAATGATTGTTGGATTTTGTTTGTTTTTTTTTTTTGGCTGGGCTAAGGTAGGTTTAGAGAGGGTGATGAGGATCTGTGGCCACAGGTGTGCCTAGATAGTGATCGTACTGCAGGAAGAAGATCGATTCTAAGCTTCTTGGACCTTGCATAAAAATGTTGCGGTGGGAATTGAGAGTGGAGATAACCTCTTAATTAAACGGTCTAAAGTTGGGATCATGGTTGCTATTGTAGAAAGGTATTAAGACATTACATTATATGTCATACGTGTTTCGTGACATACTTAAACGTTTTTATTAGATAGTTGGATCGAGTGTTATGAGTTGGATTTCTAACGTGTTTGGCTTTTCTTCTTGTATTAGACCTAACGAAACAACCGAGAGTTATATGAAAATAGATCTTCCTTTCTCCTCTCTTTCTCTTCTTCTTTTCACCATGTCTGCTCCGCCTCCTCCTCTCATATTGCTGTCAAACTCACCCCCACAAACTATCTGCTCTAAAAGATGCAACTTCATTCCCTTCTCGACAATTATAATATGGTGACGGTAAAATATATTTATGATTCTCTCTTTGCTCCCACCTAATAAGTTAAATTATTGAGATGAATTGGTATCAGATCTATTTTCATATATGATTCCTTCATATGATTCAATTGTTGGAATCTCGGTTGGACCGTGATTTATAGTTTTAAGATTTTTAAGTATCATCCTTCCATTTCTTTTTTTCTAAATCTAACATTCATAGGCCCCTAAATGATGATAATGGTGGTGGTACATCAGTACATGTCGTTTGAAAGTGTGATTAAGTGGTTGCAAACTTAAACTTAATTATTTGGTAATCTTTCTTCAAACTAATCACATCTGTTTGTGAATGCTAGCTAGATTGATGGGCCTTGTTTTTTGTTTGTGTTGAATGAAGAGAGAATAAGACATGGAGTCATTAAGAAATTTGCAGAGTACTTTCAGCCTTATATCATGTGTGCATGTCAGTGGTGCGCCCTCCTGCTTGCTGGCTGGCTGGCTATTGGAAAACAAAAGAAATTATCAAAAATACATATACATGTATTTAATTTCCTAACCTTCACTACTAATGCAAAAAAAAAAAAAAAAAAAAAATGTATGTGCCACTTGGATATGAATATGTATATGGAGTATGGAATTCATTGGCATCAAATTCAAGGGTCTCAGCCTAAGCCTCGTAACCAACAGCACTCGCTTCATCAGCATGGAATTTCGCATCAACGAAAGCTAGCCTAAGACAACAATCCTTCATTTCTATATATCTTTTTTTTACGGTTCTTATTAGTCAATGGGGGGAACTTTCAAAGAAAGTGTAAAGAAACAGCAAAAGACCATTGATCAATTTTCTTTTTCAATATGCCCCAAGCAACTCTGAATATGCAGCTTTCAGAAAGAGGAAAAAAGACAAAAAGAAAAGGGCTATATGAACATTATTAGATTGGGGAAACTGAAAGTCGACTTGATTACACTTTCTACTCTTTTTAAATAAAAAACTAATAACTATATTTTTAATAATCAATTGAAATTTTTAGGAGACAGTACAATTACTATATTGGAAATTGACATTTGTATATAACTGTCCATGTAAGCTAATTTCTTGTGGGAAATGAATCCAAAAATAAATTCGTGCGTGATTGAGTTGAGTTAAAGTGGACAACACCGTACCAATGGAGTTGTTCGATCTCGACAAGCGATATCAAAGGCTGGTTCGGTTTCGATTCCGGACGGTGGACGCTAGGGCTGGCTATTTGGACCGGGACCGGATAAAAAACCGGAAACCGGACCGTATTACCCGGACCGAGACCGGACCGGGACCGGATAGTAAACAATCCAATCCAATCTTTGGGCTTAGATTTGAGGTAAAAAACCGGATAAAGACCGGATAAGAGAGCTCAACACCCAAAACTTAAGTGTAATTTGCATAAACGGTCACAAACCTTTGCACTTAGTACAAAACTTAACCAACTCCTCACCCTTTTAGGCCTTAGGCCACTCAAATTCCCACAATCTCAATATAAAATCAAGATCGAATTGGGACCGGACCGGGTCAAGACCGGACCGGATCAAGACCGGACTGTATCCAATCCAATCTTTGGTCCTTATATTTTCAAAAAAACCGGACTGGACCGGATCAATTTGGGCCAATTTAACCGGACCGGACCGTATAGCCACCCCTAGTGGACGCTAGTAGAGTGAATCTTAAATTTAGAACTAGACATTCTTGTGCCACTAGACACAAGCAATATCTTTTCATAATTCCTTGTCCATGTTGCTATCATGGAAGCTAGAGAAAGCCCAAAAGAAAACCCCCTCTCCATTGCCAAAGCTTTTCTTTCCCTCTCCTTTTTTTAGGTCACTTTTCCAGTCCCACTAGCTAGGGTTCTTAAGGCAAGCTGCATCCCTAGCTACATATACAAACACCCAGCAGCATAGAAAGGAGGGAGAGGCTAAATCTGTGGTCTTTCTTTCTGCATATACATGGAATGAGAAAATGTGAGTGTATAGTGGAACCATTGCACGCCTCTGTCAATCCCTTTGTCTTTCACTCACTCCCTCTATTCACATCATTGAAGATTAAAAGGGTGAAAGAAAGAAAAGAAGTGGCCTAGAAGATCAAATTTGATCCCTAAACTTTCCCATTTCCGACATTTCGGTACACGAATTCTGAACTTCGGGGGGGCAATAATAGATCATTCACTTACAAGCATGTTAAGACCACAAAGTGATGTGATTGGTGAGAATCGTTCTACGTTCTAATTAAGATTACTAACATACATGTCTACGAAAGACGACAATGCATGTTCAACTGTTTCAAGTATCCCAATGGCTAAACTCGAAAGTTCATGGACCGGAACGATATGGAATGAAAAGAAAAGGGGGTTCAAAATGACCTTCAAAGAACAGCATAATTGAGGGGGTGGGGGGTCCTTCTTGTCACCAGGCCAGCAAATGGGTCTTTTTCCTTTTTTTTGAGTTGGTTGCAGATTTGGGACAAAATCATGAAAGTTGAACCCATCAGCTCCCCCAACTGTGGCTTCTTCCCCTGTTTCTGAATAAAAGCCAGCCGTGTTTGGTTTCTGCGGTAATGGAGGTAGTAGCCCCCAGTTGTTAGACGTACGTTACGTGAGTTTCAGCATGGTGCTGCTGCTGCAGGGCAAGCTGTTAGACCGTAGACCGACCATGACACAATCCACTCTCGCTACAATGAGCTCACTTCACCTGACATTGATGATCAATAAGCCCTGTACAAAGAGTCAAGTACTCCATTGGTCGAACGCGTAACGTTCGTTCAAGGAAAAATATCTCAAAATGGCTCGAACTTTGACGGACGACTAAGATGTTCTAAACTTAAACGGACGACTTAACGTCTTATCTCAATAAAACACAAAGAACTAACGACGAGACATGCAAGTCAGTCATGTAACAATGTCATAGATACTACCATGTGTCATTGTCATGTCAAAACGGCACTATAACTTTTTATTTTGAACGAAAGTTGGAGCGTCGAGTCTAAATTAAAGGAAGTTTTATTTTTATTTGTATTCCGTTAGCACTAGTTAAGCCCATCTCTATTGTTAACCACATTGCAACCTCTGAGTGTCACACACTCACACACTTAAACAAGTTAGGACCTTAGATTGATCAACAAGTCTCTCCCCATACTTCCCTACTCAATTGCCAGTAATATCCTATGACATTGTTAACCACATTGCGTTTAACGGAGCTGGACGGAGGCTAACGGAGAGTGACTAAATGTGATATGTTTCAATAATTCGAGTGACCAAAATTGATATTAATTTTTTCTAATGACTAAACATGACATGATTTAATAATCTCGGTGACCAAATGTGGCATTTACCCTTCATTTATTTATCAATAAATCTAGAAGTCCGTTTATCCTTGGGTTTAGGGTTTTAGGGTTTATGGTTCAGGGTTTACATTCGCCCTAAGAGGGATCTCCATTTGGGCTTGTGCCTACTCCTTGTTGAACGTTACAAAGCCCAACATTCTAGTCCAGTCTTTTTTTAGGCGAATTTTCCACACCAAAACACTATAACCTGAAAATTAGGTTGACATTCGCCAGCCTGAAAATTTCAGACAACATCAACAAAACAGAAAACCCCCTACCAATACCTGATGGCTAGGAGTTGTTTATGAAAGCAAATGCCGTATGGTTCATTCCTTACAGCGACAGATCATCCAACAAAGTAATGGTTGGTTCAATCTATATAGCGATTGAGCTAGTACAATCGCCATTTTCCAAGTTGCAGAGCCAATCCAGCTTCCACCACCTCCAAACAAAGCAAATGAAGAGAAAAATGGACAAATTAGTGAACTTCCTGCACTTCTTCCGGCTGCCTCTTCTTCTTCTTCTACTACTTGCACTCATATGCTCAATGTCGCATCATGGCCATGTCGCAGCCTCCAAATCGACTGTCGAATACCTTCCCGGATTCCAAGGTCGACTCCCATTTTACCTCGAGACCGGGTTAGTATACGTGCTCGAATCGATACAATGTTAAAACCCACCACGAAACGGTCTTATACATACTGCGCGTGCTGCGGTTTTCAGGTATATAGGAGTTGGGGAAGCTGCAGGGTTGTTCTACTACTTTGTGAAGTCGGAAGGGAATCCTGAAGCTGACCCTCTCCTTCTCTGGCTCACTGGCGGCCCTGGCTGCTCTGGCCTCACCGGTCTTGCCTTGGAAATTGGTTATCTAACAACAATAAACCCATCTCTTAATGTAGAATTCTTTCATGGATTTTATCAATCTTGATCGTCAACCAATCGCTCGAGACGATTGCTCTTTCAGGTCCCATCAAATTCAACGAGAGCTTGCCAACTTTGATCCTCAACCCATTTTCCTGGACTAAGGTGAAGTGCTTGCTGCAACCCAGAAACATTGATAGATTTGTTACTGTCCTGCTCCGAAAGTTCGTTGATTCGTGCTCGTATCGAAACCTGATGATTTCGCTATCTGCTGCAGTTTTCGAGCATCATTTTTCTGGACTTGCCTGCTGGGACTGGATTCTCTTACACAACAAACCCATCTCTTGCTGATCATCCGAGTGACCATGTTCAAGTTTCTCAAGCTGCAGAGTTCATCAGAAAAGTAAGAATCCACCTTCTGATGAAAAGGATCATTGGGAAGAAGAGTACAATATTTCATTCGAGATTGTTTTTGGCTTCATAGTGGCTGGGAGAACACTCGGAGTTCCTGCAGAATCCATTGTATATTGCAGGGGATTCCTACGCAGGCATTACTGTTCCACCCATTGTCCAACGACTTTCCATTGGTAATTACAGGATTATTATAATATGTATACATATTGTGGCACCAAATCGAATCACATCGAAAGATTGTTCGAACATGGATTTTTGTGCAGGAAACGAGCGAGGCATCGAGCCAATGTTGAATCTCAAGGTGAAAGACATTCAGATCAAAACGTTTTCAATCGGAATTCAAAAATTTTCAATCGAAATCTCAAGGTTCTTTTTTTTTGTTGTTTCAGGGGTACATACTTGGGAACCCAGGAACAAGTGGTGAATTCGATAAGAACGCCCGAATCCCATCTGCACATGGGATGGCGCTCATTTCTGATGAACTCTACGAGGTTTTGATTCATCACACCATCATCTTGCTGCACTTCTCCCATACAAACAGAGAATTTTTCGAGATTTCGAAGTTAAATTAATTACTAGCACTAAAGAGTAGTCCTCACCCAAAAAATTTGTTGCAGTCACTTCACAAAAGCTGCAAGGGAGAGTACCACATAGTAGATCCTACCAACTTGGAATGTAAGAACAACTTAGAGGCTTTCTATGAGGTAAAAATAAAGCATGCATGAAAATCTATATATATCATGAACAATTTTCTCTGCCCACTTCTTGTTTAGTGAAGAAGGATGTTCCATTTTTCTGCAGTGTCTCTCGGGTATAAACATGTTTAACCCGCTGGATCCACAATGCATTTTACATCAAATGCCAGTGGAGATTGCTGCCCTAAGAAGAAGAAGAAGAAGAAGATTGTTGCAGGACGAGTCTCGACTGTTATCGACCATCGATCCGCCTGAACTCGACTGCAAGGTAGCTACTTATAACTTCCATTGTTAAAAAGTGTTCTGGTGAGTTCCCTTTAATTTCTCCTGACTGAGTATTCAAGTTTGCTTTTGCTAGTATGACATCAATCTACTCTGCAAACATTGGGCCAATGATGAACTAGTCCAGAAAGCGCTTCACATAAGAAAGGTAAGAGTTGCAGTTGCAGGAAGAACTTCCCCAAAACTTCAATGGCTTTCTGCCAATGCTTCTTTGTTGGGTTCTTTTTCCCTTTAGCCATTTGTAGATTACATTGTGTTTGGTGCAGGGGACGATAGGGGAATGGGAGAGATGTAATAGCAGGTGGAACTATGAAAATGACATTCCGAGTAGCTTTGAGTACCATGTCAACCTTTCAACCAAGGGTTATCGTTCATTAATCTACAGGTCCTTCATTTTTGCATATCTCTATAGATTTTGGAGATTTTTTTTGTTTTTGTTTCTCATAAAGACTAAGAAACTATGGCTGTAAACTCTGGGCTCCTTCGAACAGTGGCGATCACGATATTTTTGTACCATTTGTTGGAACACAAGCCTGGATTCGAGCTCTCAATAGCTCCATCGTGGAGGATTGGAGATCATGGCACGTTGGAGGCCAAGTTGCAGGGTAATTTATTGACACTATTTTTAATTTCCTTCCTGACTAACCTTACCTTTGAAATTGCTCTACTCAAGCCTAGAGGTAGTTATATTGTTTCAGGTATACGAGGACTTATTCTAATGGGATGACCTATGCAACGGTGAAAGTGGGTGTTTCTTTTATCTTAGATTTCTAATTGTCGTTTTTATTAACCATAATATTTCATATTTGTAACCGTCATTTTCTGGTGTCTTAATTCTTAGGGCGGTTCGCATATCCCTCCGACTAACAGGCCCATGGAATGTTATGCTATGTTCCAAAGATGGATAAATCATAAGTCGTTGTAAATAGTTAGCAACCAAAATGTCTTTCGTGCTTCAAAAAGCCTTGTAACCTAATTGTACTATTACAACTGCAGCTATGAAAAAACATGTAATGTGACGGTGTATGAAAGTCATTTTGTGTATCTTATTAGTCGACCTTACTGAAAAGTTATAAGCAAAGCTAAAGTATATCAACTCATGTGTATCTTATTAGTCGACCTTACCGAAAAGTTATAGGGAAAGCTAAAGTATATCAACCCATCATTATAAATCTATGTATCGTCTTATATGTAGTAAATTTTTAGGAGGAATTCTGTAGTACATTTTTATGATGAATTTTACAACAAAAAAATTGTCATTGGATCACTCTAAAAAAGAGAAACATATAAAGATTTGTAGGCTTACAACAGAAACTTGCCTACTACAAAACAAGCAACAAAGTCGAAGCTCAAACATTCGAGGCGACAAAAATAGAGCAAGAGTGGGACCAAATGTTCCTAACGGGTTTGATATTTGGGGATTAGAATTTATACGAACAGAATTAGGGATTGAGATTTGAGAAAGATAGAGAATCGGCCGAGGCCTTAGAGGGATAGGGATCGAGAATTGAGAGGATAGGGAGAGATTAGAGTTTCGGAGATTTTCTTAATATTTTTCTTATTGATCCTGAATGATTATCCCAAGTACATATTTATAGGAAATATAGGAAAACCCTACTAATAAACCTGATTCTGCTAGAAGACTACTAATCAGTAATCATAATAAGAATTACCCTATTAATGGTTATAAAACTTATAATAATGAATATAGAAACCCGAGATAAATCGATTTCTAACAAAACCATGGAAAACCAGCTTCCAAACCCAGAAAAATACAAACCTATGGTACCCGCATTAACAACCCGAACAACCTATCCCATGTATTTAGCAAAGACAACAATGGCATCTCTTGTTGTTGTAGCCTCCCAATGATCCAAATGATAATCCTTTAATACCAACCCAGCAGAGCCATAACCCTGTTTTCCATAGCCGCCACAACAAATAGGCTACCTGTAGTAAAAAGACATCCGCTTCTTAGTTCTTACCATGTAGCACAAAATAAGGAGTAAGAAACAAACCCAGGAAAATTCCTATTCTCCCAAGGCTGAAGTCGCCCCTGAAGACCGATCAAGCGCCAAAGTCTTGTGCCACCATACAAGTGAAAAACATATGTTCTCATGTCTCCTCGTTGTGTTTGAACGTGGGGTGAAGAGATCCAGGACCCCTATCTTACAACTAAGGCGAGATAAGTAGGGCTGCAGATGAGTCGAACTACTCGCGAGCAGCTCGGTGCTCGACTTGAGAAAAACTCATTCGAAACTCGGTTGGTTTACTAACGAGCCGTTGTTGTGCTAAGCCTTTTGTAGCTCGCGGAGCTCTCGAGCCAACTCGACTCGGTGGCTTATTGAGCTCAACTCGTGAGCTGGCTCGTTTAGAGCTCATGAGGTGTCTCAACTATCAACATTGTGGCTAGAGAGCCAACTCGATTGCCGACTTATGAGTGAATAGATCTATATAAGTTTGATTTTGATAATTCATAGGATTGTTAAATTATATATCTCACCCCATATAAAGTTTAACACGTAGATTTTGTGAGCAAATATGTCATATTTAATCTTAAAAAAAAATTATATATCATAAATGGCTTCGATATAACAATATAACCTTTCTGCAACAATATAACATACATATATATGCTTCTTTATGATCCCTTTCCCAATTCGTCACAAACCACAAAGAGAAAAGGGAAAATGCAAAAGGAAGAGGGATCTTAATACCTGATGGTTTGTAGTTTATGAAAGCAAATGCCGTATGGTTCATTCCCTAAAGTGATGGATCAACCAACAAAGTGATTAGTTGGTTCAATTTTCAATCTATACAGCGATTGATCTTTGATTCCTCCAGCATTGAGCTAGTTGAATCGCCATTTTCCAAGTTGCAGACACGACTCAGCTTCCACCATACCAACCAAAGCTGCTGCTAGAAATCACAAACCAGAGAGACATTTCAGTACACACAGAGCAGATGAAGAGAGGGAAAAAAATGGACAAATTAATGAACTGTCTCCGCTTCTTCCTGCTGCCACTCCTTCTTCTGCTTGCACTCATATGTTCGTCGCATCATGGCCATGTTGCAGCCTCCAAAGCAACCGTCGAATACCTTCCTGGATTCCAGGGCCGACTCCCATTTTACCTCGAGACCGGGTTAGTATACGCGTGCTCGAATCGAAGCAATGTTAAAACTCACCACGAAACAGTCTTATATGTACTGTGCCTGCTGTTTTCAGGTACATTGGAGTTGGGGAAGCTGCAGAGCTGTTCTACTACTTTGTGAAGTCAGAAGGGAATCCTGAAGCCGACCCTCTCCTTCTCTGGCTCACCGGCGGCCCTGGCTGCTCTGCCTTCTCTGCTCTTACCATGGAAATTGGTTAACCAAATTACAACCCATCTCCTACTGTAGAATTCTTTTCATGTTTTCAATCTAGACTTTCTACAAATCGCACCAACGATTGCTCTTCAGGTCCAATCAAGTTCCAAGTACCAGTAGCGGAACAGAACGGGAGCTTGCCAAATCTAAACCTCAACCCATTTTCCTGGACTAAGGTGAGGTGCTGCAACCCAGAAACATTGAGACAGTTGTTACTGTCCTGCTCCGGAGTTCGTTGATTCGCTCATATCGATCGCTCTAATCCGCTGCAGTTTTCGAGCATCATATTTCTGGACTTGCCTGTTGGGACTGGATTCTCTTACACAACAAACCCATCTCCTGATGATCATCCAAGTGACCAGGTTCAAGTTTCTCAAGCTGCAGAGTTCATCAGAAAGGTAAGAAGCCATCTTCTGATGAGAGGATCCTTGGAAGGAATACAAAATTTCATTCGATACTTTTCCTTTTTCATTTTGCTTCATAGTGGCTGGGAGAACACTCGGAGTTCCTGCAGAATCCACTGTATATTGCAGGGGATTCCTACTCAGGCATGACTGTTCCACCCATTGTCCAACAATTGTCCATTGGTAAGAACAGGATATATACACAACATATTGTGGCACTAATCCAATCCCAATTCTAGATTTTTAGAGTGTTTCATATATGGATTTTGTGCAGGAAACGAGAAAGGCATCGAGCCGATGTTAAACATCAAGGTTCGAACATTCAAATCATCCACACATTCTTCCTTATACTTCTCCTTGGAATTATTACTCTGGTGAAAATCTTTCTTTCTTCCAGGGCTACATACTTGGAAACCCAGCAACAAGTAGTGAAATTGATAAGAACGCCCGAATCCCATACGCACATGGAATGGCACTCATTTCTGATGAACTCTACAAGGTTGAATTTATCAATCATCATCTGGTTGGGATGAGGAATCCTCACCCAACATTTCTCACTTATATAAATAGAGAATTAACTGTGAGAATTTACAAAACTAAGTACTAGCACTAAGAGCAGTCCACTTGAACTTTGTTGCAGTCACTTCACAAAAGCTGCAAGGGAGAGTACATCACAGTTGAACCTACCAACTTGGAATGTAAGAACAATCTAAAGGCTTTCTCTGAGGTAAAACCTGTAGTTTGATCATCTTAACTCACCTCAGAACTCAAGATTCTCATCAAGAATCTCTCTGTCCACTTCTCGTTTAGTGAAGAAGAATGTTCTACTTTTCTGCAGTGTGTCTCGGGTATAAACACACTTAGCATACTGTATCCAGAATGCAATTTAGATCCAGCAAAAATGCCAGTGGAGATTGCTGCCCTAAGAAGAAGAATGTTGCAGGACGATTCTCAGCTGTTATCGACCGTTGATCCGCCTAAGCTCGACTGTAACGTATAACTAATTACATTGTTAAAAGTTCTGTTATTGTGCCTAGTGATCTGGTGATCCGTTTCCCTTCTTTTTCTTCCTGAGTATTCAAGTTTGCTCGGCAGGATGACACCAATCTAATGGTCTACAAACATTGGGTCAACGACGAACTCGTCCAGAAAGCGCTTCACATAAGAGAGGTAAAGAGTTGCAGGAAGAATTGTCCCAAAAAAATCCAGGTTTTTCTGGAATGCTTCTCTGTGATCTTTCTCCTCTAACAATTATGTGTGGTGCAGGGGATGATAGCGGAGTGGGAGGTTTGTAATCGTCGGTCGGATTACGAACATGATATTTCTACCAGTTTCGTGTATCATGTCAACCTTTCAACAAAGGGTTATCGTTCATTGATCTACAGGTCCTTTCTTTTGTCATATCTCTACAGATTTTCTTTATGAGGAAAATTTTGTGTTTCTTGTTAAGACTAAAAGTTCTTGACGCGGTTAACATTTTGATCCTTTGATCAGTGGAGATCACGATATGGTAATACCGTATATTGGAACACAAGTCTGGATTCGAGCTCTCAATTACTCCATCGTGGAGGACTGGAGATCATGGCACGTGGAAGGTCAAGTTGCAGGGTAATGTATTGCTACAAGGTTTATAATTTCCTTCTTTCCTAATCTAACTGTTGAAATTGCTCTTCTCAAAGGGTAATATATTATTTCAGGTATACGAGGACGTACTCTAACGGAATGACCTATGCAACTGTGAAAGTGGGTATTTCTTATCTTAAATCTCTAATAATATTTATAGTAACCATAATATTTCATATTTGTAACCATGATGTTTTGATATCTTAATACTTAGGGTGGTTCGCATATCGCTCCAACTAACAGGCCCGTGGAATGTTATGCTATGTTCCAACGGTGGATAAATCATAAGTCGTTGTAATCAATTAGCGACCAAAATGTCTTTCCTGCTCAAATAAGCCTTGTAACCTAGTCATACCATCACCATTGTAGCTAAGAAAAAACATGTAATGTGAGTGTGTGTGTGAAAGTAATTTAGTGTGTCTTATTAGTCGACCATACCGAAAAGTTATATCCAAAGCTAAAGGATGTGGACCCACCATTACAATGTATCATCTTGTTTGACTGCGCTTTTAAGTACAAATTGAATTTGCATCATAATATTGTGAGTAAAAGTTTAATTTGTACTATAAAGAAATTTGTACGAAAAAATACAACTACATATTAAATTTGCACCATAACAATATTAAGATACATGCTCATTTTCTAAAAAAAATATACAAAAAGGTACAAGTATAGATACAAACTAAATTTATATCCAAACATTACAAAATTCAAATCCAGTTTATATACATTTTTTATAACGAAAGCACATCTCCTTTAAGAAATGTCGCATCACCATTAGCAACAATATAACATATATATGCCTCTTTAATCTTTATACATTTCCAAATTTGTCACAAACCACAAAGAGAAAAGGAAAATGCAAAAGGAAGATCAAAACAAAGATAACCCAAAACCGACCAAAACCTAATTACATTTTGGGGCCTTATTAGCTCATAAATAAACATCAAAATCAAACACAGAAATGACAAACAAAAATACATAAGAGAGAATTTCAATCATCACCTGACATCACGGCCCAGAGATCCGGCCCGATTTCGGGTCGACCACGCCTCTTTGCATTTCCTCCCCTGTCGCTGCCATCACCATACCCGGATGACCCTGACCGGTCATGACCGCATTCCCACCCATAACCCCGTAATAAACCTGCTGGTTCATCCCATCCGAAACCATCCTCGCCCCTTCATACGGGTCCATAGCCGGTCGCATCGCCCCATAAACCTGACCCATCCCGCCCTGTACCTGCTGACCCATACCCGGTTGCACCTGATGGTACCCGACCCCCTGCATTTGACCCGGCTGAACCGAATACTGCTGGACGTATTGGGGCCGATACTGAACCTGCTGAACCGGAACGTTCCCCTGACCCGGCACGTAGTAAACCGGTATGTGCTGGACCGGGGCGGCAGGACCCGAATACTGAGACTCCGGAATGTAATGCATCGCGTACCCGGCCGGCGGCTGCTGCGGCTGCAATTGAGCCTCCGGAATCGGCTCCGACACCTGCCGCCTCGGGTCGACCGGGTCGAGCTTGGTCTTGACCGGTGTCGGCGGGGCGGCGACCGACGAGGTGGAGCAGTACGGCGACGACGAGACAACCGGGGCGGGGGAACCCGGATCCGAGGCCGAAACGCTGTCGTTGAAGATGAATTTGTTCCTCAGCTTCCCCTGCTGCTGATTCTCGTCGGAATTCTCCAATCCGAAGAGGTAATCGGGCACCTCGGAGACGATCGACGACGCCTCGGACCTGCCCCGCTCCAGGGCCCGGCCCGAATTGAGCGCGTCGAGGAACCAGTGCTCCCGATTCGTCGATCCGTCGAGGAGCGAGCTGATGCTGCTGGTTCTAGAACCTTCCAATTCCCCCTTGGGGAAAAGAAAGAGGCGCAATCGCGCCGATCTAGGGTTCTGATTCAGCGCGCCGCGGTCGTACTCCTCCATCATGTTCTCGACGTCCTCGTCCGTCGAGACGGAGATCAGCGCGTCGAGATCCTCGTTGGGGAGCTGGTACTTGACGGTGACGCCGGCGGGGAGGCCGGAGAGCTTGGCGAGCTTGGAGACGAGGGAGGAGAAGGTCGTGGATCGGTGGACGGCGACCATCCGGGTCTCGCCGCCGACGTAGCGGAGGAGGTTGTCGTGCGGGCGGGGGAGGATCTTGCCGCCGAAGCTGCACATGAAGCGCACGCGCGCGTCCTGCTGAGAGGAAGGCGCGTGGGATTCGGATCGAGGGGAGGACGCCACGGAGTCGCCAGCGGCGGCCGAGGAGTCGAGGTCCGGTTGGTGGAGGGATGACGACATGGCGATTTCCGGCGGCGGAGGGCGATAGAGGGGAAAGGAGAGAAAAAAGTGGGGGAGGGGGAAAGGGGTAATTAAAGGAGGAAACGGAGCGCGTGGGATTCAGCGCCGGAGGGGAATATTTGTGAGGATTAGTGCGGGCGAATGATATATTTTTTTATTATTAAATTAATTTGGGAAGTAATCGGGCAGGCTGGCTTTGATTTGATAGCTAGCTGACTACTGACTAGGGCAGAAGAGTTTGAATAACATTCCATGTTTTCTCACAAATAATAATATTTTAGGGTTTCAGAAATGGTCGAAGCCCAAGCTTTTCTGTGGGCGATGAATTTGTTAGGGTGTATACGCAGAAGTCGATCTTGATGGAAATTGACTGTCAGTCGCTCATCCAGAAACTCAATCAGGATAGTCCGATCGATATGGAATTGGGGACAGTAGTGGAGGAGATTAAGGGAGCTAGGGATGGAGATGGGAGATGCTCGATGGAGGTTTTGGGGGAGAAATGGCAATACAGTAGTTGCCCATGAGATGGCAAGGATAGCTTGTCGATGGGAGGAGACAGAAATGTGGTTTGACAGGCCTCCTGTTTTTGTTACTTTGTCCTTGATGAAGGACTGTAATGGCAATTTACCTAGTTAAATAAAATATGCAGATTTTGGTTTTCAAAAAAAAAAAAAAATTTGGGTTTGGTTTATAATGTCATTTTGATTGTGGTACAGAATAAGTTTTACATTATTAACTACGAAATCAAGATTTTATAACATGATGCTATTGAAGATTTTATACGATTAATGCTATAGTACAGTGAATTGTTCATCTAATTGTTAGATCGATATTGTTTAATTTTCGCAAATCATGAAACGAATTAGTACAGTGAACTGTGTCATCGTGAATTGTCATGTCATAACAAATAGATTCATTAACTATTTATTTCATGAATGATGACACAAACAACAACTTAGTTAACGAAAAGCTTCATTTCCAGTCATGAAGTCATTCCATTCTTACTACGATCATCATAGTCAGATGAGTCAATATTGAGAATGTATAGTGGAAGAGTATATAAATGGTGTGTGTTGAGTCAGCACTGAGTATTGCTGACGTGGCAACGACGTGAAAGTGAAATCGGATAAAACGAATCAGACTCATAATTTTTTTTTTTTTTTTTTTGTAATGGTGAATGGATTAGACCCATAGTTTGCTTGATGTGGTATATGATTGAATTGCTTGGATGGATCATACAAGACCCGACCGGTGATGATCTGATTGTGGTGATGAATATGATGTGCCCTCCTGTAGTGGAAATATATATATATATATATAAATATTCTTTAAGCTAAAACTCGAAGATAGCGACCTCCAGCTATACAAACACATACATCAATCTCTCTTTTGTTTTTGTGCCGTTGTTTTCAAGCTTTTCGTCGACGAGTGGTGGTGGGTGTTTGGGCGGTGGATATGTACGACTTGGATATATGCTTTTTTCAGTTTTCTCCCTTTGGTAATTAAGGAGAAAATCCGTGTATGCAGATTTGTGTTGATTACTTGATTTATCATCGGTCACGTTTAGGAATGGCAATGGGCAGGTCCGGGGCGGGTTTCTTGGTACCCAGACCCGCCCGTGGCAGGTCGGGTCCAGGTCGGGTAATTTATCACGGGTCACGAGTCGGGGCAGGTCGACCCAATGGGTAAGCAATTTATATGAAAAATATTAGAAATGTTCGTTATTTTTATTATAAGACCATGGAAACAAACAATATTATGATAAATATAGTTAAATTATTGGAGAAATTGAGGTTTTCACTAATTTACAACTTTATTGCAGCTAAAATTTGATTTAGTAAAAGGAAAATCCTAAGTAATTTGACTAAAATTAAGTGTAATTTAGGCAAGAACGGGTCGAGAATGGGGCGGGTCAGGGCAGGTTGGGTCTATGAGAGTACCCATGCCCGCCCCGCCCCACCTACGGGGCGGGTCGGACCCGCCCCAAAACAGATCAAACGGGTCGGGTAAAACGGGTCAGGTCGAAATTGCCATCCCTAGTCACGTTGTGTCACTATGGTCGTGTCATGCTAGGTATGACACATAAGTATTATGTGACGGAATCCAATCCGGTTAGATTATTCGTAAAGATATATGATCAACGATTGATTCTCTCTCGCAAGTTGGGTTCAACTGGTTCTTGACATAGATGTGGTAAAAGTTAAAAACGAATTAGTTTAGATTGAGTCCGTATAAATTTTGAGTTCTACATACGTTTAAGTATAAGGTGACCTTGATTCGTTTGCTATTTAATTCGTTTAGAATCTAAATTAGCATATTATATTTCCGAAACCTTTGTAACCGGTCAATCAGTTGATTTGGTTGGACTTAGGTTTAAACTTTCAGGGTCGGATTTTTTTTTTTGTCTCGAAACAAAGATGAGTCATTTGACAGGCGCAATAATTGCTTTAATTGCTTGTGGAATCTTCAAAGTTCAAACTGCTTTGTGATGTTGATTCAGAGTTGCAGCCAAAGGAGAAAGAATAGCTACTTTCCTGTGTTGTTTTTAAATGTATAGACAAAGTTTACCAATCAACTACACATTATTAAACAATTTTCAATTACATCATCAAAGTAGATATATTTTTCTTTTCACCTTTAAATATTCTGCTTAATCAAAGCCATTATTGGTAGGTAGGTAGCCCCCAAAAGCCACCATAGTAATAAAGGTTAGTTCCCTTAATCAGAAGTCTAACTACGACTGTAAATCGGGACAGGTCAATTTATATAGGGTATGTGATTAAAAAGAAAATATTAGAAATATTTATGTCAAACAGATCTCGTAAAATGAGTTAGGTTAACACCTCCTCCGATCCAAAACAAATCAAACGAGTGGAATAAAGCGAATCAAATCGAAATTATCATCTCTATCCATCAAACTTTCTTTCAGCTAACCTAGTAGGTGATAAAAAAAATATGGGATTCCAAGGTTTTGAGATTCCGTAAGCACAAGTGCGCACAACCCTCTCCGAGAAATGAACATCCGATCCAGATGAAGATCCCTCGTGGAAGACGACAAGAGAAAGGATAAATAACTGAGTTCTGGAGTTCTGACCACGTCTTCGGCCGACATCCACGTGCCGACCTGTGATTGGGTGCTGCAACGTGGACGACAGTCACCAAGGTGTTTGTCCGGGCTGGCATGCAGAATCTGCTAGTGTTACATTAGATCTTGGAGGTTGCTGTATGACAGACCAATCTTATAACAGAGAAAAACCTCGTGGTCCTTTGCTGGCAGCTGTCACCTGAGAAACTCCCTCCCTCCTTTCGTGCTCTGTTGCTGACTTGCTGTCATGTGATGACTTGGTCAATGGCACCTAGAGGTGACAATTGGATCGGATTCGTGGATTCGTGGATTGGATTCGTGGATTCATGGATCAAATGGATTGGATCCAATGGATTGGTGGATTCATGGATTGGATCCAATGGATTGGTGGATTGATCCATGAATCCAAATAACATCCAAGGCATGGACCAAAATGTAAATTTTGAAAAGTTTAGGTACTAAAATGTTATAATGAAAAATTTTAGGTACCAAAATGTAATTTTCCAATGTCATTTTTCATATAAAAATATAAATTTTAGGTACCAAAATGTAAAATATAAAAAATATAGGTACTAAATCGTAATTTGCCATTTGGATCCATGGATTGATCCATGAATCCACCAATCCAATTGGATTTGGATCAAATGGATTGGATTTAAATGGATTGGATTAGGTGGATAATTTGGTGGATGGATTGGATTGGATTCATGGATTTGGATCCTAGTTGCCACCTCTAATGGCACCTTACGATCTTCCCTCTGCAGTTCTTCTTCCCTTTTTCAGAATGAGTAATTGGGCATGGCTCCAGAGATCTCACTTTGTTGACTACAAGTTAAAAAGAGTTTTCACTTTTTTTGTTTTTGTTTTTACAGAGATTCTGTAACACGTTAGATGAATCCCATATCGACAAAACACAAGAGAGATCCATGGTTCATAAGTAAGAAACCGGCATTAACTGAGAAAGACGCGTTTCGGGGTGAAATGGAAGAAGTCTTGTGAGAACTCCGAAGTTAAACGTGCTCAATGTGGAGTACAGCAAAAGATGAGTGACCTTATGGGAAGTCACCTTGAATTGCAACCCCAAATCAAAATTCGTGAGGATCGAGACCCAAAACGGACAATATCTTTTGCTCGGGAAAAAGTTCGAGATGTTACACATCCCTAACACCCACATGGGCTGTCGTCACAGCCCAACAACCAATATAGGCAATGTGGGCTTCCCTAACGAACTTGATCCTTGGATCCATACTTTCTTTGATCGGGAAATATGAAAGGAAAATATACTCGGAACACAAACCAGAAACCAACAATCTACTGATAGATTTACTTCAGAGTACATACATATAACCCTTATAGCAATGCGACTGCATTCATAGTTCTCCGTCGACTCGATCGAGATCCGAGGCCAGTGCATGCGCAGAAACAAATTTCCAGTGCTATCAGATCAAACAGCTCGAACTATACATAGAAACCATGATAAGGAGAAGAGGAAAGTAAGTTACCCTTGGCTTTCTGGTTCAAAGGAGCAGTTAGGGCTGTTGGGCTCGTTTGAGACCAAACAATGTGGGCTCCCCAAAATAGAGCAACGTCATTGGGCCCGCTTATCAGATGCCTAGCACCAACCGGTAGTTGGGCTTGTGGCCCATGCTTTCCCAATAATTTGATGAAATTCTCTACGGAAATTACTAAATCAGACGTTTTCTTTAAAATAATTCTCAAAAGTCGAAACAGGCTTTGAAAAAATGAAAATCTTCCGATCCACAATTTTCGTTTTTGGTGATATAATCATCGAATACGACTTTCCACAGAATTCTATATGTAGATTTAAACGTTTCTTAAAAATCGCATCAAAATCTACAGAAGCACGGCTAACGGGTCCTATATCTTGGATCGAGATAGTATACATTTGGCGATT